CTTTAATAGATATAATTATATATATATGTATATAATTATATTTATTAAACTCAACAAATTCAATGAATTTAACTCAAGCAATACAAGACAGCGTTGAGTTGTCATGAATCATAAAGGTTCTAGATGGTTATGTATATCTCATTGTCGGTCCTAGTGAAACTAACTCGAACTTGAATTATCGTAAACACCCTATATCTTTTATGATTCTGCTTTTCTCGAATGTGATAAAAGCATATGAAAGACGTGTAAATAAACTTGACAGCAGATGTGTTTCTAACTAAAACGTAATTTAATGTGGAAATATTTTTTTAATTAAACCAAACATTTAAATTGTAAACGTAATTTAAAGTCCATTAAAGCCTAAACGTTAATAGAGGAGACAGAAATGCTTTGTTGAGATTAACCTGGTACACTGAGTAAACTGATAAATCTGATATTATCTTTCTGAGAAACATATTTATTTCTATTTCTAAGTTAAAAATGGATAAATTAAGAAGAGCTCTGAATGGCAATGAACGATGCGATGAAGAGAGCGGTATTATTACGCAGGTAATTACGTTTAATAGGTAGATTGTTGTATTGTTAGTTAAAATATTTGTCTATAAAAAAAATTGTTTTATTCGTAAACTAAAATTATTACTTTAAATGCTTACGCGCGGTCGTCGATGGAAGGCTGATGTGGATTTCACGGTAAATGATTAAAATAGCCTTCCTTTCTTGTATTGTTAGATTTAGTATTACTTGTACTTTATATATTTGTAATGTCTATAAAATATTATCTACAATCGTCATTATTTCCTTTGCTTCATAGAAGATTATAGAAAATTGATATGGATTATGTTTGATATAGGTCATGGACCAAACGACATTAAGTTGGTCTACTAGGATAAAAGGTTTTGCGATTTGTTTCATCGTAGGCATTTTGTGTTCATTTCTCGGATCATTTGCACTGTTCTTACAAAAAGGCCTTGCTGTATTTGCTGTGTTTTATACTCTAGGCAATATCATCTCTTTAGCCAGGTAAAAGACAGTATACTGATTTGTACACTTTTTAAATTGCTAGAAGTCTGATGATACATAAGATATGATATTCATCAATCTTAATATTTCAACAACAGCACTATGTAAATTATGTAATCTGATGATGTAAATATCATCAATGTACATGCTAATTTTTATATATGTTTCAGTACATGTTTCTTGATGGGTCCAATCAATCAAATTAAAAAGATGTTTGCGTCAACAAGAATAATTGCAACTATATTAGTACTTGTCTCGATTGCTTTGACATTATTTGCAGCTTTACACGTAAGTATTTACTGTTTTTTTTTTTCTTTTATTAATATACCTGTGAGAGTGTTTATGATTTGTTTGTTTTTTAGTTACACAATCCTGGTTTAGCCCTTCTGTTTATAATTATTCAATCGCTAGCTATGACATGGTATTCATTGTCATATATACCGTATGCTCGCGACGCTGTTAAAAAGACAGTGGAAGCCTGTATCACGTGAGAGAAGTAATCATACTTCTCTTTCGGTCATCACATTTGTTATGAGTGTATTCTTTAAATATTTTAGTGTCCTTTAATATCTGAAACATTTTATAATGCCCAACATATATTATACTCTACTCATGTTTTTAGAAGATAATATTCGGGACATTCAAACAAAATGAATAAGTTAGTTATAATGTAACAGACAATACAATTATTATGAAGCATTTATTGTATGTCACAATATATCGATTCCATGTGATGCTTTTAATACATTGATTTTCATCAATGTATGTTATATAAGTATTCATCAGAACTGAGTCAATTTATAAGGACACAAATATTATATTGTTACATACATTCGTTAGCGTTTATTATTTAATATATTGATACTGCAGGATTGTACTCTATTAATACTCAAATATGTAATTATTACATTACGTTGTTAATTATCTTTTTACAAACTCACTGTAATAAACGATTCTATTTTGAAGCATATAATTTGTTTTCTCATTATTATCAATTAACCTCCTATTGTTAATTTCCTTATGACTAATTATCACACACATAATCAACTAAAATAGATATACATCATCAAATTTCATGAAAATTTAATATAATGTGAAACATTCTTGACCAATTAGATTAAGAAGTTCATTTTAATCTTTTGAACATGCTAATTGGCTGTTCCAAAAAAAAAATTTTATGGACTCCAGACGTCCAGGAAAGTTACTATCCAATAGTCAACCAACATGTCCGACAAACTTGTAGACGCATGAAATATTTTCTAACGATTTTGATTGGACGAATATAAAGGACAACATGATTTTTTTTTTCACCCTTGGTACTAGCAACCAATGCTGCCAGAAACGAGCGGCGGCATCACACTAAAGGCCTGTGTCCACGATCCGAGAACTCGGTCCGGTTTCTCGGATAGAACTTTTATCACCAGATGTTTGTCCTCTATTGACTGCAGATGGTGTTATAATCGACTACATAAAGATAGGCCGGTATTCATAGGGCGGTATTCATAGTCCGTTCTTATATTCAAGATCGTCTTAAGAACGAACTTATATTCGCTCTCTTCGTCAGACACAATCTATGTGTGACGAAGAGAGCGAATATAAGTCCGTGCTTAAGACGATTTTAAATATAAGAACGGACTATGAATACCGCCCATAGTCCGTTCTTATATTCAAGATCGTCTTATAGCGTTTTCGATTATACAGGATTTGAACGACCCAGAGTTGGTTAATGACGTCATTGCAACCTCTCCACCAATGAAAGACTTGCATTTATAGTAAAATAGTGATTGATCAACCCTGGGTCGTTCAAATCCTGTATAATCGTAATAACTTCGTATAG